GTGCATATGGGAGGTTTCTGCTAGAGTGCGCTGACACCTATAGCCCTTCGGGGACACGGTAATGGTGCCGGGGCAACCCTTACGGAGAAGGGCATACTCATGATGGTCGGGGTAACCTGATGGGGGAGTTTTTGGTATAAGTCTGACTACTTAAGGATTATACGAGAACTCTCCTACCCCGACAGAATCAACATCCTCTCGAGAGACTTTAATTGAGATAAGCCTGAGCTTAACGATATTAAGTTTTACCGTTTACTTTTATTCTTTATACTTTTGCAAGAGCTGCGTTGAGAGATTTGAAGTTTGGTGCGGTCGCATCCTTGGGAGCCATCTACCTGAGGGAGCCCCCGTTACACAGGACTGGGCTATCAGAGTCGCGTAGGCACAGGCCTGAGAACTATCGCCTTACACCAAGAGAAGTATCATTACCTGTCGCTAGGTCCTACTCAGTAGGATTCTTAACAACAGCCAGGACTACAGTTTGCAGTAGGAGGGAACAGACTTTAGGCTTTAATCGATCTCTCCATTCCCTTGCTCTCCTAAGAGGCTGCCTAGGCAAACATAAACACAATAACTGATAGCTGTTAACCATGGTCTTGGGTCTACCCCTCCTCTCCTCTATGGGGCCTTTTTGGCTAGTAGGTGGTAGGATCCCTTTCCCTACAGTGACACTATCTCTCCTAGAACAAGGGACTACATGAGAGATATGGTAAAATACCTACTTCACTTAGGGTTTTTCTCTATGATCAGATCAGGTGGCATCCTACTGCCACCTACTCTCAAGCAGGCATCCTACTGCCTAAATTGTCGATTGTCTCAGAGGACACATGGTTGCTGGTACACCTGCCATACACCTTCTCTCCTCGCTTCTTGGTCACTACCTTCTGGGTAGTTTTCCTTATATCCTTCGCATCTGGGACTTTGGCCCCCTCCTCCTGACCCTCGTCACATGGCCTAGGGGTTTCTTTCTTGAGATTTGAGTTGTGATCGTTGGCCCTTAGAGGTTCAGTTTGAGTTTCTGCCTTTAGGTATTTCATTCTTGGGGTTGGGGTGCATTCTTAGTTCACTGTCAGGTAGTTAGCTTTCTTTTGTGGCTTGGCGGTAGGGGTTATTGGATGGAGCAGTTTATGGGAAGGATTACAGGCAGGAGTAGTTTTTTCTACCCTAGAGATTTCTTTTAGCTCTGTCATTCAGCCTGGTCCTGGGAAGGGGGCAGTTTTTTAGGTATCACAGCTAGTGCTCTATATGCCTTTTTGTCCCATAAATAAAAATTTAAATGAGTCAAGCAAAACAAAACAAAATTCCTAGCTTTAAGTTATTATCAGTGACCAGAGAAGAGACCTTATCAATATATTTATTCTACTTTACTTCTATCTTTAAGAGTCTTCTTGACTATCTCTGAGACAGAAGATTATTAGACCTAGTATATACTTCCTTGACTTTAGAGATACCTACCCCCTAACATTAGCACACTCTAGCAGCAGTTTCTCATATGTATATTAGTTTCTATAATGTAGTACCAATACACTTGCCAGAGTAAAAACTTCTGTACATTAGAGTATTGTCAGTGGTTAACTGTCAAGATACCTGGAAAATCTAACTAAATGACTCTCTTCCCATGTGCAATGATTTATGTAAGCACCTGTAGACATCATCTGTCTCCAGTTGAGTTATATCTATCTTGATTGCAAACTCTAAAGGCCTATGGTACTCTCTTGGAGAGTTGTAGTAGTGGTAGGACCCATGGGTACTATCTATAGTCCCTTACTAGTACTCCTAGTACACCACTCACTGCAATAAGAATCATGCTTTTAGAGTCTTCAAACAACTCTCAATAAGCCTATAGCAAAGGGGTACATGTAGGCTTGATTGGTATAAAATCTTTCCAGATGTTCTAGCACTACCCAGAACTACTGTGGAGACCCTTCTCGATAGCTTATGCTAACTCCATCAGTTTTTTAGTCCATTTATTAATTACTATTATGTAACAAACAATCCTAACATGTCACAGAATTTCTCTGAGAATATTTCCAGTGGAGGGTAGTGTAAGTATGTCTATAGCGATACAAAACTGGTCCGCATGGCAGGGTAATGTAATGTTCTTGGGCAGAATGACTTTAGCTGGCCTTTTGACCTAAACCTAGGCCAACATAGACATAGTTACATTACTACCACTACCTAGGTACACCTATCCCTCAAGTACCTTCTACTTGTAGAGATACTCAGACCATTGGATATCTCCTCTAACATGCTCCTGCTTATCTGTCTAGTTTACCACAGGATCTCTTAGTCTTATGTATGAACATAGACTGAGGCTGCCATAGCTCAGTAACATAGGGTCATTGTAGTATCAAAGATAGAAGAACATTAAAGATTTGGGATATGGTACTGACTGTTTCACCTGGCTCTTCATTAAGCCATTTGATTGCACAATCTAAATGCTGATTTATTTCAAGCTTTTCAGAGGACTCTGGCATTGTAATTACTGAATTGGAGAATAGTTCAATAAATTTTCAAGAAAGTGGAGAGAGAATCGTTTATAAGATATAAATAACATATTTGATAAATAGAATTACAATTAATTATATTGATAGAATAAAGTAGTTTTGGATATAGGATTTAGTTCACCTATCTCAATAGAATATGTTGTGTATTTGAATAATAAAATTGTCAGAAACTATTATTAAATTGGATGGGTTAAAAAAAGGTTTTTCTTTTTTTGTGGAGCGTCACACTTGCTTCCGCATCACACTTGCTTCCACCGACTATGAGCGATAGCGAAATAGGAGGGGAACCGGCTATTAACAGGCATAACAGAAAATTAAAGTTTATTGGAAAATAGACCTTACCCGGATTACATAGGCATTACATTATGAAATGTTAGTGGTTCATGTTCTACGCCTGGCACCATAACATACTGTATTAGGGATGGTGTATTTAATCTAGGGTGCTATGAGCGGGTTTTCATAGGAGCTCCCGCTAGTGTAGCCAGCCATCATGGCGGGGTGCTGGGTTTAGTGGACCGTTTGTGCTTGTAAGGAAGTGAAGCTGTTAGTGTAGGTTTTGTAAGGCAGGAAGTGCTGTTGATGCTGGTGTCATAATATTATGATAGATTATATCAGTCCACCGGTCGCGAAGGCGACTCTTTGGGGCTGTGTGGTGGGCTATGCTGTGAAGGATAAGGGCAGAAGTTGCTTGCTATGGTTACGATCTACAGCACATTATTATTGGACCTGCGACTATGGTCATTTCTATGAATCGGGAGGGCAGTGGATGAAGAAGTGCCAGAGAAAGTGTGCAGTATTCGACCGGAGAAATGCCAAATGTCCCACCACTTTCTCTCCAGTCCTTGGTTGGCTAAATAAAAAACAAACACTTGACATAAAGAGGGTATAATAGCGATAATATAAGATTATCCAACGGTAGGGGTCCTTTAATATGCCAAGAAATTATGACAAAATAAAATACAGAGAAAGAAATAGTGCTAATCATGCCCTGTCACTCACTTGGATAGCAGACCATAACCTGTGCGAGAAGCAAAGATACTGTCAAGGAACTTCAACCAAAACTCCAAATCGTATATACACCACCCGAAACAAACCAATGCCCCGCAGACAGCAGTGACGGTGCCCTAAAACAATTAGACCCCCTTCCTCCCTCACTACCGATTCCTATACCTCGCTTCTCCCCCTCTCCCCGGGGGCCCAGAACGTCCCCTCCAGCGGCAGCCCCCTACTACCACCACTCCCATCACTATCCCCCGTGGCATCCAGATCCTCGGGCACAATCCTAGTAGTGCTATCCCCACTCCTCCTCCCATCTTCTACTCCCTCCCCCTCCACAGTATCCCCATCCTTCTCCTCAACCCTGAACTCCCGTGTAATCGTAATCCCCGTGTCCCCCATTCCCAACACAGAAACCCCACCCAGCACCCCAGAACCAGCGGCAGTAATCCTACTCCGCTCTCCCGTCCTCCAATACCTCTGCCTCGTGGGATCCCGATACAAACTCCTCCGAATCCACCAGAGGAGAACGCCACACAGAAAGCAAAACGAAATCACACCCACCGCCACGATCCCGCCAACAGCGCCCGGTGAGAGGGCCGATGCATCGTCACATCCGGCGAAGACCGCCGGTGCGGAGATATACTGCGGGTTCGTGCGCACTCTTAGCTCTCCCCCGTGCGTAGTGTTATCTGCTAGGATGACACAGGGATCGTTGTATGTGCTGCCGCAGGCGTATCCCGCGGGACAGCACTTCTGGTTCAGACTTCGACTATCGCTGTAGCCGGTTAGCTCTGCCGAGCACATTTCTTTGTGAGAGGACGGGTCCCCGCAGTTGGTGTAGGGGGTTGGACATTTGGACCAGGTTCGGACGATTGGAGGACAGGATTCTGAGACGGTTTCGGGGGCAGTGTCTGGGCAACAATTCTCCCAGGTGGTTTCTTCGTGGGTTATCGTTAGAGTGCAGGCTTCGTTCATTTTGGAGGGTTTGGTCGGGGTTAGCTCGAGTGCTGGAGGGTGGTGAGGGAAAGGAACGGTGAACTTTTATATACGAGAGGATGGTCGGGGGGGTTGGCTTCGTTTCCTTTTGGCCTACCCAGCTGGCCTGGGCTGATGAGTATCAGATTTTTATTTTGTTTTTCCTTTTTTTTTGAGAGGGGAATAGTTGGCAGGAAACTGCCGTACAGCGATTGAGTAAAGGTGTTCTTGGTGGAAGTAGAAGAATCGAGGAATAAAAGGAAATAGAGAATATCATAAGCATCTGACATTACCACCCAGCCTTAATAATCCTACGGCGGCAAAGAGTAGTGCAGTGCAGCACCAAAAAAAACAAAAAACAAAGAAAGCACGAAACTATTTCCATCAGGTGTTCCCCTCTCCCCCCCCCCAGTTGAAGATGCTATCAACCGATGATAACGCCGTTGAGCCATCGAGGCACAGTCCAATCCGGTACCGGTAATACCCCGTCAGCACAACCAACAAAAGCAATTCGAAGCAGCCAGATCCCACCGCTCCCAACCCCATACAGCGCCCCTCATTCCACCTGCCATTAATTTAGAATCACAGCCCAAAACCTCAAAAAGCCTTACCCCATCATCCCCATCCACCGCTTCTTCCAGGCGACGGTACCGGCACCAAACCCCACCCCCACACAACAAAGAGAACCAGGAAAAGCAAGCAAGATGTGCGCAAGCATTAAGGTGTTACGAGCGCCTATATTACCACTCCAATCCGGACCAACCCAATCCAAGAAATAACCTAGGGGGGGGGGGCGTGATTACGACTGGATTTCTGTTATAGCGCCCGAGTGCCGCTTTGTGAGGGGATAGATGGATGGTAGCGGGGCTAGCAGTGGATAATGGGGGTGATATGGGCGGACCACTCCATTTTTTCTAGAAAGGTTAGAATGGCGGGGAGGACTGGGGGGGGGGGAACCAGACAGGGAAAGAATGGGGAGGGTTGTCTCGGTTAATCATGGTTACTGTAACTCTCACCCTACCGCAACTCATCCCATCTCTCAGCCTTGCTCTCGAGCCATCATACGGTACTCCTGGTCCTGAACTTAGTTCTCCCGCAATTACCCCCTTGGATCCTTCGCTCGTTTACTAACAACCTAATTTGTCCCTCCCGGTCGGCACATTTTCATGCGATAAAACGAAGTGGTGGCTTGGTATCACCAGAGTGAAGATAGAAAACAGATAAAGAGCGGGAAATCGAGGAAACAAAATGGCGCGAAGCATCTTCCTCCCCCTCATATTCAATAGCAAGGCGATTAAGGTGATATAATGAAATGCACCGTAATGATAGGCTTTAAGGCCCAATACGTGAGCATAGTCCCCGCGAGTAACTTCTGGGAGCGATTTCTTGCCTCGCAACAGCAGCAGGTGCCCCCGTTTTCGAGGAACTTTCGCGCCGGTGGGTCAGTAGGTATGGATACAGTAGGTAGCAGTAAGCATCAGGCTCATAGGAAAGGAGGTGAAAACGAAATCGGAGGGATAGCACTCGTTGCCGGGCGTCAATTCAACGGTTGATATATTCATAAAATCACTGTACTGTGTTAGTGCTGTTGCCTCCTTCCCATTTTCGTATGGATCTACGGCACCATACCAGAGAGAAACCTTGTTTTAGTTATGTATGCACAGCGCGGAACCGCTATCTACATTCTCCTCTCCCACGCCAGAATTCCGGATAGAACCGCTTTAAAACGTAAATCCCGGGTTAGCCTTCCGTCGTTAATCTAGGTACCAATTACCAGAAATCCACAATCAGGGAAACAAATAACAATCGATTGTACTGTACCACCAACCTTATGCAACCTCCCAAGAGCACTGTCCGCCAGATGAGCACCCAACCACCCGCCCATCACCATATCCAACCTTTCAAGATTGCGAACAGTAGTATCCGTATCCGAACTACCCCCACCCAAATATCAGCTCCCACGCGCCTATCCGTTCATCGAAAAAAGCAAAGCAAGGTACAAACCTCTCCCTAAGCAACTTGTTCTCCCCCCGAATAACCATCGTCAATACCACCTTCCTATTCTCAAAACACCCCTGCTCGCCTTCGAACTCCTGCTCCGTGACCTCCCCTGCGCCCCAAGCGAACGTGAGTAACGGGATATACTCCGTTGTCATGAACTTAAGCAAGTGCAGATGGAATAGCAAGTCCCTGTGAACTTGCGGATGATCGGAAGTTCCCGCAAACGAGGTGGATAATGGAGGGGATATGGCGCTGCCAGTGCGGTTGTGAGGGGCGGAGGTGGACCTAGTCTGGCGTTTTCCGGCTGCGGCGCGGGCATGTGCTCGGGCGGCCGGGGAGGTGGGTGATGATGGGGTGGAACTTGAGGTGACAGGCGAAACGCCGCGGTGTTGCATGTACGCCAAGCGGGAGTGCCTAGACGGGGTTATGGGGGTGGAGTGAGGCATTGTGGTCGTGTTTAATAGGGGGGATTTTTACATAGCATTTATGTGGATATGCAGCACGTGTGATGGCGGTGACGGGGGGGAAATGACTGGCGGGTGGGTGTGTGGGGTTGGAGAGGCACGGATTGAACTTGGTCAGGGGCAATGATCATTTAAGATTAGGAAGTGAGTAAACTGGGAATTGGGGTCCAAGACGAGAAGGTTTGTAGAAACATATGACCCTAAGACCAGTTTCACGAATAGCCTAACTCCTGATCCATCACCTACACCCACCTACCATGCTTGTATGATATTATCGTAAATCGTCCATGTGCGCCATTTGCTCCTCCCAAACCCCAGCCCAGATACCCCCGTCCAGAACACTCCCACTCAGCGACACAGTCCCGAATCCACAGAAAACATGCACCCACTATCCCTCATCTCACCGACAGAGTGATTTCCCATGACCTCCACCTGCCTTCCTTCCACCAAAGGCGCGGCAAAACCACCAAATAGCCCCGCATACCTCACAAAGTACAACCACCACCACCACATTCCAAGGGCTGTCGCTAGGCTAGAATATCTGGCTGCCAACAACTCACCTCCCGACAATAAGATTGCAGCACTCGTCCACGTGCTATGAGCATAGTTCGCTTTGTATGCTAGTCAAAGCGGGCGGATGGGAGATGTTTACAGAGGAAAGGGGCAAAATAAAAATGCTTAAGGTTCCTGGATACCCAGTACAGAGGAATAAGGGACAATTGCAACCCACAGTCGCCGGAAACCGAAACCCTATGGCCACAACGAACACAGGTTGTTCGTGTACTGTACTACAGGACGACCTGGAATGCTCGATCCATGTGATACCCAGCCAAAAACTCCCGTCCCCGGAGCGACAGGACACATAGCATATGCATATCCCCTGTATTCCCCATGAGATAGAAAAGGAAATTGCCGGACCTTGCCGGGGTGGAGGGGCTACCGACATACCTCACAGCTCAATTATTCAGGTCCTTGTGTGAATTTGGAAAGCGCTGTGGCACGGGTTGCTAGGATTTCCTCAGTACCACGATATTGCAGGATGGGATGGCTGAAATGGGCAACGACTGCGAGACGATACACAACTCTATTTCTATTATCGTTTCCAGTTGCTCGTATCGGCCTGCCCACAGCCAAACAGATGAGTAAAATGGCACAAAACACCGAGTGCAGATCTATGACCCACCGGCAACAAGCAAAAATGGGCGGAGGAACATTAAGGAGGTCTTCAAATATCCGTGGCAGTCTCTCATATCTTAGCCCAGACACAATGGACTCTATTGGAAGGGCGGCTAGGGATTCAGTATTTTGTGTTTGAGGTGTCTAAGAGAGTTGCTAAATGAACCCCCTTTACCCAAGCACTACCTAGAATACTACCCCAGGCTACTAGTCATACTATCACATCAAGTGTGCTACCTTACCTTACCTAAACAAAGAATAATAAAAAAACACTACTGAGCCAGCCGATCAGCTGGCGGTTGGCTCCGGCCCACCCAGTTATGACACAAGCCGTGGACCTCTACTGGTGCTTCTGTGCCGAGTCTTGGTCCCCCCATCCGTAGAAGCGAGGGAGTCACTTGCTCTTGACGGATGTAGATTAGGGGGTGACTAGTATATGGCAAGCGATAACCGGAAAGCTTGAAAAATGATGAGTATTACGACGATACCTTTCCTAATTTTCAATAGTCATGTCCTATACACTCTAGTCACTATCGCGCTACCTTACTTATCGAAGACCTGGAACTTGAACATATATAAGGTTGTCCATTTGCTTACAGGTATTATGAGTACAGGTAGTGATAACTGACGGAATAATCCCATCTTAGAATATGATGTTAGGGCATGTCGACTATAGTGGGTCTGTCTTCCTGTTGCGCATGACTGTCATTTCTGTGTTTTGCATAGTGGTTAGCCCTTGGTATGAGGAGCCACCACGCACTGTATTTAGTTTTGTTTTCCTTTCTTTCTTTCTGGAGATATATTATAGCAATCCATCTCCACTCTTCAGTTTCCTGTGCGGTCTCCCCCACCCCTGTGTTTCCACAACGCTGTTCCCGCAGCTTCGCCCCCAGCAGTGTTTTCCTCGGGTCGGTTTTCCCCTGCGCGGTCGGTTCCCCTTGGGAGTGTTGCCATCAATAACGATAGATCGGAACCTATCCTTCTCGAAGAAAATGTGCCCAGCCGGCCCCACTGTCACAAATGGGGAAAACCAAAACCTAGAAGAAAAGCCCGCTAGTACCCCGCGCAGCCCCAGTCGTGCCTTCATTCTCCAAAATCTCGACCACGGAAAGTGCGTTGACGGCTACAGTCTCCATCTTAGCCCAAATCCAGACCTATCCGCTAGCCAAAAACGGAGATGAAAAGTAATGGTGGCCCTAATCTCCTAGGGGCAACACCCCAAGTGAGAGGAAAAACGGCAGATAGTCTAAATGCGTTCAGTCGCAACGGAGGTGGCAAAAGGGAGCTCAGATTTTGGGGTTCGAGATAAAGATCCGTTCCCTGCTGCCTTCACGATGGATGTGGGACAGGGTTCGAACAGCAGCTTGCATAGTATGATAGGATAAAATTGATACAGTACGTCAACTCACCATAAATTTGCCAGATACTGTTAGCCGAGCTGGCACAGAAGAGCTCTGGATATCACTGGAGATGTAAGAGAGAGATAGGATTTATTCATGGCCAACAGAGGAGGAAGAGAAAGCACAATTTAGGTTCCCCTAAACACGGAATCAGCCGCCGGCATTAGAGATAAGTATATTGCAGTCCAAGTTTAGCTCTTCCACAGTAGCATCCCCGGCACACAATCCACCCCATATGCTATCAAGGCCTCATCTTTACATCTTTTTTTTCTTCTTCCATCTTCTAATTTCTCCGGATTGGCCATTAAGTTTTGTAGCGCGAGATACTGCTTTTTGGCACTGCACCTTATGACTCTAGTTCAAGGCATGGTATTAATGATAGCATAATCCCAAAAGCAGGATGTGGGAGAGCAGATAGAGAGATGTGTGGGGAAGCAGATGTGGATGTCAGGGCAGAGATTGTGAGCCCTTGCTCTGGTTAGATGACTGTTTTGTTTGCTTGAGAAGGTCAGCCTACTATATGATGGCTACCTTCTTTCTTTGTATTTCTAGTTTTCTTTTCGTAATTCTTAGGAAAGACATGAACGACCCCTCTCAGACCCGCTATTAATTGAATTACAAATACGATAAGGTAGGATATTATTTGAGCATTAATGGGGAAGAAATGAGGAAGAAATCATGATTGTTAGTTGTCGAGAGGGGGGTATCTTGGACTATCTCCTTGGTATCACGTATAGCCTAGATAACTTAGGAGTGTGTTTAAGCTCACGCTGCGATATAGGGTGGAATGGAATGTATTGGGTGTAGCCAGTGGATCGATGGTGTGCGGTTGGGATGAGACGGGTGATGCAGGGGGAGGGCTTGTAGAAAATCAGCCGAGGACGGATGGTTTGGTCTTGGAAATAGTGACATAGGGAGCAGGGGATGCGCTACAGTAGTTTATTTGGACCGGGGGTTATCAATTTGTTGTCGATGTCAGGAAAAACACCAAAAATGAGGACCGTGCGCCGTGTATGATGATATTTATCATATCTTTTTCAATATTCAAGCACGGGGAAGTTAGCATTCCAGTAGATTAATAAATTTCCATCATCTAAATATCCAACCCCGGAACCAAGAAAAATATCCAGAGTACGACATGATCTGAAAACATAAACGCCGCAACACAAATAAACATAAAACACAATTGTATGCTAGAAATTAGCTTTACCTCCCCTATAAAACTACCCATCAACCCTCCGAGCCCGCAACTTCAACCCCTCCTCACCCCTCTCTAATTTCACCCACAGCCTCTCACTAAGATCCTCCATCTCCTCCCACTCGCCCTCGCGAACCCGACCCCTGGAATCCTCATCCAACCCATGAAACATCAGTGCCAGTGAATTAGCACCCCAAGCACGCATCCCCCACTTCGCCTCCCCTTCCCGGCTCTTAACCACGATAGTCAACAGGAATATCAAGGAGGAGACCCAGAGCGCAACCGGAAAAGCGAGCCAAGGCCACCTCACGCGGATGAAAGCCTCCCTGATCATGGTCGTTCCGTTCACCGGTACGGTCGCACCGTCGAAGTCTCTAATGCGATTGGTCATGGCGGTAGCCACGCGGGACATCACCTCCGTCACGTTCGCATGAGTGCTGAAGCCCTGCATTAGGTCCGATGAGAAAACACGGCTATATCCGGATCCCTTGGCCCATCCCGACAAGAGATACGTGACGCCCCTGGGACCCTGAATGGACTCCTGTGCTAGGGGAGTAATCACGAAGGCCGTCACCTGAGTTCCATTAGTCAACGAAAAGCGCCGTTCCCCATCAGTCCCGTTCGTAATCTCAGTATTCGTAGAAACAATCTCCTCAGTGTAAACCCCCTTCTGAACTTTCGCCCTCACAGTCTTGACGCACCAGAAGAGCGCACACTCCGTACCATGATACGTCGGTGGCCAATTCCCGGTCTCACTCCGAGCTTGCAAATGCGCTAGCGTCGAAAATGGATTACTCCTACCCGCAACCCCCCCATTCAGCATGGTCGAACTCGAGAGAGCAAGGTAGGTCTGGTTCAGGATGGTGTTGATGTTATTGTTATCCGGCTGCTGCCAGCTCTGCGCCCTCATCCCGCCGAACTCGGCTGAGCAGAGGTTGTTAGCGTCGCAGCTGGACTGCACTTTGTCACTGACATCGAAGCACTCGCTGCACACCGCTAGCGTTGCGAACGGTGGGAAATCGCAGGTCCCACTGGTGCAGGTGAAGAATGGTTGATTTACGGTTGAGGATTCCCCCGTGGAGGAGTTGGAGAGTGCGGCATTGTAAATTGATGATAGAAGGGAGAAGGAGACCTCCGGAGTGGTCGTGCCGGAACTAGTCACGTTTTGGTACGTGTCGAAGCGCTCCGCACGGGTCACTGTCGAGGTTGAACCGGGCTGGACTATGGATCGGCTGGGGTACGAAAGGAGCTGCTGCTGGGCAACGCCGAGTCCCATTGAGCAGACCATCAGGATGGCCCCTAAACATCCGAGACCCCTGGTCGGTCATCCCCAAGTCAGTAAAACATGATTATCGGGTTTCATTTGTGATAACATACCACCCCTTCTGCCTCCAGCACAACTTCAGAGCCCCCAAGGGGCCCCTTGAAGCCTGATTATAAACTTCCACATCCGCCAACCTCCTCTCCCTCTTCGAAAACCAGAGCCACATCAGCTGCCCCATGCACTCATCGATAGGCACCAGCAACGAAGCCCTCGACAACGTCGATAGCAATGACAATATAGCATTGACACTAATTCCCGAGGACGACCAACTCCATGCCGGAATCGCTTTGTCATTGAAGAGCAACAGCACGATTGTGCTCGCAACAATGGCCAGGAATGAGATCAGGATCGCGAGCCATTCCCACGCCCAGTAGTCCACTCTTCGCTTCTTGGTGTGTAGGGGGAAAGCAGGGGATGATTTGCCGTCCCGGTCGTGCATCGTGAGGTGCTGGCCTGGGGCTTGGAGTGGGATTGTATCTTCGAACCAGTCTGTATTCGACATTTCTCTTTCTTCAGGTTGGCGGGAGGTCGCGTAATATACTACCGGTATGCTCTATTCCGGGACGGTATTGTACGAGTACAGCGCTGTACTCGAGTACCGTACTGCACCGTAACCCAATTTTCTGATTAAAATAAGGGGATGGAAGAAGGCGAGAAAGAGGCAACAAGGAAAACCCCGAAATGAGCAACAGCACGGAAAATCCCACTCGTTTTATCAATAGAAGGTTAGCGGTTTTGCTGATTGCAACATGACTGTGATACCGGTACTGCGCCCCACCCCTCCTCCGTCGAGGGCCCGGGCCATAAAGCGTGGTTGACTCTGATACCTTAATTATTACCCATTGCAGGAGAAAAACCTGTGGAGGGGAGATTAACTTGATACGAGGAGGATTACTCTCACCCGCAGTGGATACCGTACCGTATCGTACTGTACTGTACGGTACAAGTCACCCGGCCACAATGTGTCACCAGCAAGACTCCCTCACTCTTCCAGCGCAGTTTGGTCTGGTACTGAGCGGGGTGGGCACAAGTGAGGACTTTACTGGACAAAATCCAGTGAGTGTGCTGTAAAGCTCGAATATGGTACAGTCGCGGCAATCGAACCAAGTGCGATTTCGTTGTCCCCTCCTTTGGTACTGTGCTTGTGCTTGTACTGTACGAGTACCGTACGGTGAGAGTCGGGTGTTTCTTTGCTTTCTTCACCGGCACTCCACACAGAGGGCGACGGGCGAAGGCAGCACTATTTTCTGCCATACCGGTAACTTATTCTTCACCCCTCGCCAAAGTAAGGAATCTGCAGCACATGGTTCCATACCGGTAATTTGGGCTTTTATCCTCTTTGTCCCGGGCGAGGGGTGCTCGACACAGGGATCAGGACAATCTAGCCAATCATCCGTGAGTATCTGTGCGCGCAAGCGAAATTATCCCCAATTCTAGGATCAGTATCGGGTACCAGGTACAAGGGTGGGTCGGGTGTCTGCCATCCTGGGCTTGGCAGCCCTTCAACTCATATTTTCCGTCCAGAAAACCATACCCCTATCTTAATCACAAATTCACCTCCATCTCGTACTGTACCGGTACTCAAGTACTGTACCGGTAGACCCCTTGTCCCCACCAATTCCGGTCATTAGATATCACTCATATTTCCTCATCTGTGCTAGTTCGCATGCAATACCCCTGCCTATTTTGGAAGCGCACACGACTTATGGTTGCTGCACCCCCGAGTACCGTCCATTACCCCTGGTCTGATACAAGTACCGGTGCTCGAGTACGGTACTCGAGTACCGGTACGGGTGCCACTGTGCCAGTGCTCGGGCACTTCTATTTGCACTTGTTCTAGACCACAACTACCGGTACTCGTACAGTACTTGTACGGTCAGCCGCAAGAACACAGTAAAACGGACCTTGTGCTATACACTTGTAATACTGTACGAGTACAATAGGACGTTGGAGTTGCCACGCTTGCTTGTACTAGTACCGGTACGAGCACTCGAGTACCGTACTCGGTGGGCTTTACCCTTCCCGGCTAGGGAAAAGATCAAAACCCCTGCAGTGGCGTCAGGGGGGAGGGGAGGTGAGACTGGCAGGCCGGGATTGGGGAGGCGGTGCGATTCAGGTACAAGTACCAGTCTACCAACGGCAAAGAATCCCCCCCAGTCAGACCTACTTGTAGCTGAAAGAAGGAAAACGGGCTGTGGGAAATGGTGCTTGAGTAAAAAGGAAAACTTTTTTCTTGAGGAACCTCTGCACAGACGACCTATTCGAGATGGATGATAGTCTAATTCGATGTCTCCCTTGGTTCACCGCTGCTGTTGGGGGAATTGGTGCCACCTCGCACGCCCCGAAGTGCCACTACCTGTAGTAAGATTCGCTATGGTGGGACCACCTTTATAAATTTACCGTAATAGAGCTGGAACGGTTCGCCCAACAGCTATATTCTCGCAGATCGTGGAATAAAAACTCCCACATCGTTCCAGAATCCGTTTCTGCAGTACCTACAATTCCCTTCTACGTACCCCGTCGACCAAACCACCCTACCTGCCACACCGTGCACTCTGACAAACCGACCGAGCGACCGAGCAACCAAGAAAACTCTACCAACATTAATCCCGCATATAATCCTCGAGCCCCTCAGCTGGACAAGCACCATCGATCGAACCCAGTCAGCCGGATATTTGCTAATTATCACAATACAGAGTGCTAAGCGCCAACCATGACCCGCTTAAATACTTGCATTGTAATTGTAAGGCCAGGATCAGTTATCGGTGGAAACATGCCGGGTTGGTAGAAGTATCTGGAAGTGACTCGAGGGAGCCAGAATCGTCCAATTTGGGCGTAAAACATCAGTTCCCCGCAACTTTGTGTTTAGACACCTCACGTAATTGGCCGGTAGGGCTAGTCTTGTCACCAACAACGGGTGAATGACGCTTGGTTTTGAAAATTCATCATTAGGTGCAGTCCACCCTCTAGCTCTAAAAAGATGAAATCCGGCGGGGCAGGGTCGGGCAAAAGTGCTACCCTTCCGCAGAAAGCGAGTTAGGTTCGAACCGGTTTTGAATATGACATATTGGTACGTCAACGTAACTAGAATCTTTTTATGGAAACAAAGATTTTGAATTTACCGGTATCTCATTGTCCCTACGATGTCTCCTCCTTCCGGAACCCGTTTGGGGATCGATCTTTGCGCTCCGGCTGGTGCCCAGCTTAAGTACAGTGCTAGTACTTGTCCTATGACACTCTGCCAAAAATGAGTTGAGCAAATATGATATGCATTCAAAAGCACTTGGCAGGCACTTTTGTCCTAGCGAATTAATGGACACAGATTCAGTGATTAGATTTCGCTTGGCTTTGACGCGTGTAGGATTTGATGCGAGTAAACTGAGAACTACAGTAACTTACGTCAACTAATCCGATGTAATTACTAAGACGGTAAAGTAAGCGGCTGGCGACAAATAGGGTGGCACTGAGTGTAATGGCTTACCACTCAAAATAGAGATGTTCACAACCCGCCACCCACTGACCCGGCGAAGCAATCCGAGTGAAATTTTCACCCCTATGTGAAATAATTACTGCATTTTGCTTTCTGACCCTTTAGAACGCTGCATCTAAACTGGTTGGGGGATTGCGAAGGGGGGAGGGGGTAATTGTTGGTACAGTACATTGGTTTTGGCGGATTTTCTGAGGATATTGTACGGTATGAGGGGATTGACTAACTTGGCTCTTTTTTATACCGAATTTACAATATTACTTGCCAAAGCAGCCAACAGTTCTTTAATAATCTCTAGGTTCTTGGGGAGATACCCGAAAGGATTCTGGACCATGCTATTATTTTAATTTTTTTACATTTTAATTTTTTTTTTTTACAGCTTTTGAGGGTATGAACAGAAAATGAAGGCGCATGGTTTGGATTGTTCCATGTCATTCTGCTCATCTTTTTTGTCACCAGCCTCGTACAACCTAATCGTTACCGAGAGCCTTAATTTACCTTAATCGGGTTGAGGTATAGGAGACTAATTAGATGTCCTGCGTTCCCGGAGGGCATGGCTGCGGTCGCGCCTCGTTCTCCCGGATGGCCAAAATTCAAGGAATCATGGGGCTGCAGCGAGTGTGATCTGGAGCAACCGGTCGGACCCGCGATGCATAGGGATCTTAGAATCCGCAAAACTCCATATCGGACAACGTGGCATCTGTATTCCCGAGGGTAGAGACGGCGAGGTTTAGCTGGCACCAAAAGCAATAGTGGGTTGGCATTTTAGACGAAAAATGAGCAACTTTACATCCGGAATCTCACCTTGATTGCTTTGATAGGGAGAATTCGATAAATTTCTTAGACTCACACGAAATATGTTCTGAAAAGAGATCAAACTCTATCAACAGACTTCGGGAGACAACTGTTGGAAGCATTGCGGATGGACAAAAGATACCTTGAATCATACAGTACATTGCCACCCCATGAATAAATCTTTAGCCATCAGCACCTCATACAAGAGTGACAAAAATTACACAATTTTTACTGAAATAGGCTAAGCAATTATAAAGTGCATGATTCTACTTGGAATAAATTGTTTTTGGGCGAGTTAATGGTCCTTAAAGTCACAAGGTTTTGGTGAAAAATGGCAACCTATTCATGACTTTTGATGCTAGGATGGTACTTTGCTTTCGATTATCGGGAAATGTGGGGCAGAGGTAGGGATTTAAACCCATCCACGGAAAGAGCGGGTATTGTGCCTGGCGCCTGGTATTACTGGGGCAACAATACGCTAGGGGTAAAGTGTCGTTGGTGGGGAGTGTTATGGCGAGGTGGGTTAATTTGAAGTCTCACAGAGTCTTGAGATTAGGATCCTAATTTTCACTAGGAGTCCACTGTTTTCGGTTCTCGCGGGGTAGGATTTGGCGCCGGCGCACGCGTTGGAGTATTTGGAAATTGGGGGCTAGCGGAGCAAACTGGGGGCGTTGGGTTAAGGGAGTGTACCTGTCGGTGAGTTCCGTGGGAGCAGGGGACCAGCGACCTGGTGCGCGAAGTAAACTGGGATGTTCGCAGCGATAGAAATAGCGAGTGACAAACAATGATGCGCTGGGTCCTGGGGAACCAAGGTACAGGCGGGGCTTCGCAGCCTTTCTATTCTTGCACACATACATGTATACACATACGCAATGCATAAAGATTACCTGATACCAGAGGAACTATTTTACATCCCCCTCTCCCTTTAACTAAAAAATCCACTCATACGTCTCCTCAACAATTACCTCCAACTTCAGTATCACATCCTCCACACTCCTCCCTACACTAACTTCGTAGACCCCCCTCTCAGCCCTCCACTTGCCGACACTCATTTCAAAATATCCAACAGCAAACTCATCCAGCTCAACCTTCACAAACTTCTCTTCTCTAGGCTGTAACTCTGCTTTCGCAAAGCCCATGAGTTCCATGGCGGGCCTTTCCGCAGAGGATCCGGTTCTGGGCGATATGTAAACCTGTACTGTCTCGCTGCTGGTGACTTTTCCGGTATTCTTGATGGCCATTTCGACCGTTGCAGTGGTGCCTGGTGCAAGCGTGTTTTTACCCCCTGTGAATCCCACCAAGGAGATGGAGAAAGTGGTGTATGAGAGGCCGAAGCCAAAGGGGAAGAGTACTGGGATGTCTCGAGAAGTGTAGTGTCTGTACCCGACGAATACGCCCTCGCTATACTGTATTTCGCTCTTCGTGGCGCCGTCACCGAAGTTGCCCCAGGAGGGGTTGTCCTCCACTCTTTTGGGGAAGCTGATCGGGAGTCTGCCCCCCGGTGCTTTCTTCCCGAGTAGGACGTTCGCAAGCGCGTTCCCGGATTCCTGTCCTTGATACCAGACTTGTAGCAGACCCTGCACCTCCTCTAGCCATGGCATGCTCACAGCGCACCCGGACTGATTCACGATGATGGTTTGCGGGTTAACTTTTGCGACGGCGGAGATTAACTCATTTTGCCTCCCCGGCAGATCCATGCTGTGTCTGTCATAGCCTTCCGATTCCCACTCGTTGTTCATGCCGACCACTACCACCGCCACGTCAGATTCGCTAGCGAGAGCCGCGGCTCGAGAGATGTACTCTTGCATGTCGCGGACGAGGTCAAGGCCCAGGCGGATCCCGACAGCGGATGCGAAATCGAGGCTGTCGTTGTCCATGTCTGGGAGTTTCTGGTCGGGGGATTTGGTGGTTGACTCGGCGACGATCTTGTACCATTCGCCTGCTTGGAGGACTACTTTCTTGGTTACCTCTTCGGAACCCGAGGTGAAGAAGAGCTCCCCGGTTGTCGCCCAGTGAGTGTGGTCCAGGAAGAGCTCGTTGTTTAGGTATACCTTGGTTGGACCGACGGCGCCGAGTCCTAGGATGTGTTCTCCGGAGACTTGCGGGGTGAGGAAGGCTGTTAATCGGACGCTGTAGTCCTTGTCTCCCAGGGAGGCGGGTTTCCCGTCCACGAGGAAAATGGTGGAGGTTTTCATTATCCTGGCTTCTGCCACCTCGCCCTGACATCTACGGCCTTCGAAGAATTCGAGGATCATGCCGTCTTCGCCCCTCGCCGGGGAGGTTTTTACTCCGCCTTCGGTGATGGGGAATGCCTTTACCCATTTTTCGGTCTGACAGCCGATTTCGTAATTCACTTCTATGTTGTGCTCTTTCACGGCTCCCCGTATGGAGTCAAGGGGATTGGTGAGGTAGTGGGGGTTTAAGTTTGCGGATCCACCACCCCCAGCAATACACTCATTCGCGTTGGGGCCTATCCAGGCTATCTTCTTGACGGATGTCGGGATGGGAAGGGCGTTGTTCTCGTTCTTGAGAAGGACGATCCCTTCAGTGCCAGCTTTTCGAATTAGCGCTCGATGCTCTGGCTTGTCGTTCGCACTCTCTGGTTCCTCCCCGAAACGTCCCCACTTGCCGGTTCTCGCGATGAGCTCTAGGACATGCCGGGCTCCGGTCTTGACAGCTGCGAGGAGTTCGGGGTCGTTGTTTGATTCCTTGATTGCCTTGAGGAGGCTCTGTCCACGGCGGTGGGCTGGGCCAGGCATTTCTAGGTCTAGTCCAGATTTGATGGAATCGACGGTGTCGTGAGTTCCACCCCAGTCGGACATTACTAACCCGTCATACCCCCATTCTTTCCGAAGAATTTGCTTCATGGTGAGGTCGTTGACGTCCGCATGTTGCTATAATTCCTGTTAACACTCACCCGATATGGCCGAAATCAAAGAGCTCACCCCATTAATAGCATTATAAGAGCACATAATCGCCCAAGGCCCTGCATCCCTCATGGCAATCTCAAATGGCTTCAAGTAAATCTCCCTCAGTGTCCTCTCTTCAATAATCTCATTGACGGTAAACCTCTTCGTCTCTTGCTCGTTAGCGACAAAATGCTTCATGGTGACGGCCACACCCCTGGACTGCACGCCATTCACATACGCCGCAGCTAGTTTCCCGGATAGATACGGGTCCTCGGAGAAGGATTCGAAGTTGCGCCCCCCGAGCGGGGACCTGTGATTACATACTGTCGGGGCGAGGAGGACGTTTGCCTGCTTGCTTTGGGCCTCTTCACCGAGGGCTTTACCGATTTGATGGATTAAGCTGGTGTCCCAGGTTGCCGCGAGGGAGACCCCACAGGGGAAGAATGCTGCCTGTTTTGTTATTATCCACCATCAGTTCCCCAACAAAGTCAATACCAGGGAGGGCGCAAGAGAACCTTTGTCCCATTAGAAAAAAACTGCCCCCGAGCTCCACTGGGTCCATCTGTAGTCTTGATCCCAGCAACCCGGCCCTGGATCTCTACAGTTCTCCAGAAGTCTGCTCCAGAGAGTAACGAAACCTGCTCTTCTAGATTCAATCCCTCTAACGCCTCGTTCACTTCCCTCTGCAAATATTTTGGCAAAGCTTTAATAGCCATTTTTCGATCGGACGAGAGGGGGGCTTGCATTTCGAGTACATCATATTAGGTGGATTGAGGGGGCTCGGGAGTGGCATTTATGGTTCGAGTTTTAGAGTTGGTGGGGTCGTTGGTCGGTTGGTGGGTATAGTGGGGTGGATAGTTGGTTAAGCGAGTTTGTACTTGTACAGTGTAGAGATTTGTTGGGTCGATTTGTTTCTTTCCTGTCTCTGCTGCGGTCTTCTGGAGTAGACCCCTCGAGCACTAAGGTCTTCTGCAGTACTGTACTCGTACAGGTAATGGGCGTGGTCGTCGGATCACCTAACCGAATACCCGTGCCAAGCGCTTCCCTCCTCCGAGTAGAAGGGTTTTATGCAAGGAATCTCAGGTTTGGGGGGAGTGCGATCCATACGGTCGGGGAGTGTCGCTCAAATCTCCGGGTCTCCGCTTGCCCTGCGTTTTGCCGTCTTAGCTTTTCCGGGGGGGCGGGGGTAGCTGGACTGTAAACCCGCTGGGTATTTGCAATCATATGGGCCCCTACTGTGGGCTGGAATATTTCTTCCCAGCATTTTCTGGGGACTAGGCTGGATCTGGCCTTTGTAGTCCTACTGGAATGGGAAGGGGCCCGGCACCGGTGCCTGGAGGCAAGAAGTGGAGGGGGAGAAGAGAAGAGAAGGTGGCCGCAAGCCATTGCTGCTCTACCCGCTGTATCGTACCTGGAATTGCGTCTGCTACTGTTGCCTGCCCATCGGTAGGTTACTCTGTGTTCATCAGAGGTAGGATCTGCTTCGGCCCTGTTTTTGGGTCTGAAGAGGAAGACTCTTTGTAACAGTTAACTTACTGTTCACGGGAAACTTCGTGGCTGGTGACCTAGGGGCACTCGAATACGGTTGGATCCGTAAGTACTTGTAGGGCTCTATGGCGGTAGTTACCCCGACACTCCCCTAGTATTACGCTCGAGCAAAGATTAATATCGCACGTTAGGTGATAGCCAGCCAGGTTTAAAGATGAGAGGAAGCCTTGGGGATGCTGTATTTTTCCGATATGCCGGACGGAAACGATTCCGGTGTGGCAACACACCGATGTGCACAGGTAAAGGTGAATAGCCCGCACGCGTGACTGATAAAATAACTTGTCCCAGAATTCCGAGTGATAATCCAGGTAAAGAGGAATATTTCTACTGGCATGGTCTTTTTTTTTATCTAGATCCGCTTCTCTTTTGCCGTAGGTTTCTGGGCATCAGGGCCTTTTCTAGCAGGTCGCTAGAAAGCTTGAGCCTTGCAGATAGTGCTCTCGCCCGGGTTCTGGCGCACTTCCAGCACAAATTTTTCAGACAAGAAATCCTGGCTTTTGGGCGTATCATGCCCTGTCGCGTATCTGACTCTGTTCCTACCTAAAGTAGATTTATTGCTGGTTACAGCCACATCCCGCTACCCTAGATGGCCAAATTTTGCGGATTTCACCCCGGACAGCGGGGTATCCGGAGCGCGGGGGAAGAGAGATCCTTTCTTTTTGAAAGAATAGAGTCGCACCTCGCTATCCCGGATAGCCAAAATCTAAGCGATCTGTCCGGCACAGCTGGTTATCCGGTCCCCCGGATCATGTTTTAGTGTAGATAGATTCAGAATTCAAGGAATTTCGTACGGGATAGCCAGGTATCTGTATTATGGAGACCCGGAATGGCGAGGTTTGATTGTAAGGAAGGAATAACTTGTACTCATTCTTAGGAGAGGTTTTATCATGACTATTATTCATGGGCAACATTCTCACGATTGGTAAATAGGGTAGCCATCATGTGGCATGTTCTTTGTACACTCACACGTCACCGTCCTGGGTCTCCGTAATACGGGTACCTTGCTGTCCGGAATAAAATTCCTTGAATTCTAAACCGATCTACGCCAAAGCGTGATCCGGGGGGACCCGGATGACCTGTGGTACCGGACATGTTGGATTTTGGCTGTCTGGAATAACGAGGTTGGACTATACATAGCTCTCCTTTCACGCTTCTATTGGCTTTTTTGGTCGGCCCCCCTTATTGAAAATTCACTTTATCACTCCAACTCCGGAAGCGTCTCTCTAACTAATAATCCAGAAAAATCAAATTCCATTACCACCCTACAAAAAACCCAGTGACAGGTAGAAAACAGAATAAAAGAACAGTTTCCAGGCCCAGATCAAACTCAGAACTTCCCCATACAGGGTTTCCCATAGCGGGAAAGAGACCCAAAACTACCCAAGGTAATCACCGAACACAAAGACAAGGTTTAAACACGCCCCGGCACCCACTGGACTGATTCCTCCCACTCCCGAGTAACAATAAAAAAAGGAAGGAAAAGAATAGGACTACTGCCTCTTCTCCTTCGCCTTGGCGGCGGGGCGTTCAGCCACCAACTGGTAATAGTGTATATTGCATTTTGCAAAGTGTCCCCTCGTCCGAGTCTGAATTTCGCGTTTGTTAATTCCTTGTCATATATAGCTAATATCGCTACTAGCCCGTCTACTAAGTGTCGGGACACCTGGGCACCACTGATGCCACCTTGAAGGCAAGTGTCCGGGTACTTTATGAACGGGCTAGCACTTGTGTTGGGGGGGGGGGGGGGGGTGGTCAATAACTTACTTCTCCAAGAGTTCGGACGTTTGCACCACAGACCGGGCAGTAGAATCTCCCTTCGCGCTGGTGGTTTCTTCTGCCATCGCCGCCTACGCGCTCTTCGGCTGTGCGGAGTTCAGCTAGCCCTGGGCCTGCGGCCTTATATTCACCAAACCGGGCTCCTTCGTCCTTTACCTCCCCCAATATGCCCTCCACTTCGTCCTCCTCCGCCTCCTCCTCCTCCTCCTCCTCCT